CTCTTACAACTCCATTATTGAATACTCTCACATCTAATCAGGATTCAAGATATAGTTTCATATTATTTCAGGTACGATTCTGCATGAGAACCCTATAGTCAAAGAACAAACCTTTCTCTCTGTACTTCTCATACAAGACATTTAGCTCTTTGTAATTGGAACTTGTTAGCCCACTACAAAATAAGTAAAACCAATGAACCACAAGTTCCACATATGTTTCAACCATGAAATAAAATAAAACATTGCTCTAGCATCTATTTTTTGAGGCATCTTCATTCAATCTTACAACTATGACTTGAACAGGGGAAAACATGTACAGCAACGCACAAGTTTGCTACACTGGAGTGACCTGTTTACAACATGAGTAGTCTGCGGTATAGTAAGTAATATGTGTATAGGTATAGCCAGCAACAAGCAAAAACATACATCCATCTAAGAACAGAATATAAAATGCCAGATTCACCTTCCTGAAAGGCCCACACAGAAGCCATTGGCTCTCAGTTATAGCTGAATTATCTATACTCTACAGCAACTCAAATTCATAGTACAAGTTGAGTTCAAGACAGATGCAAGATAACTCTATCCTATCAAGTTAAGGAAAATAGATACAGCATGATGAATAACCTTGGAGGATATAGTATTCATTTCAACTCTCTAAAGGTTAACAATCTATATGATTTTCACTCAAATGAATAAATTAAAACCTAGAGAAAGGGACATCCATTTTTATCAGAAGACCATTGATAATTTTTTTTAAATGTTTAATATGATCTAATGTAGGCTAGATTGCAATGTTAAATAACAAAGTTCAGTTTCAAAAGTTACCATTTTGAAGCAACATTGACGATAAGAAGAACCTTTCCAGCGTACTCACTCAGTTTTATGTCATCACCCCTGATATCCTTTACAAGAACAAAATATCAGTTCAGAAACAAGTCTGCAAAGACAAAGACCATAATATGCAAATTGAGGTCACAAGTAATCATACTTCAGAAAAACAATATACTTCATAAATAAAACCATATTCCAACAATCATCAGTTGCAAGTAAATAAAGCATGTAAGCTACACACGTGTTGGTCCACGTTCACAATTTATCAGTTAACCCTAGAGTTAAAATTGGTGGCAGCATAAGTCCATGGAGTGACAAACAACTAACACAACAGTAGAAAACCAAACAATCCCTTGAGGTAAAGTCTACAATGATATACCTCATGGACGCACATCTGCCCGCCTCTGCTAAGGAACCCCTTGCCCACGACAAGTTGTGGGCAATCAACATTACACATCGTCAAATAGCTGTCTCGAAAAGCATCAAAATTTGCACAAATTCGTCGGCAGCGTCAATCATCTAAAATCTTACCCAACCAGAAGTGCACGTATGTTTGCCATCTTCCCAAGCAAAACCTCCGCAGCAAATGATCCCTATTAGAATGTGTCACAAAACAAAGGGGCAGCAAAGAGGGGTGGTTTTCAGTTGGGCACGAAAAATATTTTGTGGAATACTACAATATCTAACAGGGCCACTGAAAGGTCCTAATGGCTAGAGGGGGGTGAATAGCCTAATAAAAATTTCTACAACAACACTTAACCAAATGGTTAGACAATTATGAGGCGAAGCTAGTGTTGCGCTAGCCTACTCAAAAATGCAAGCCACCTACCACAATTCTAGTTTAGATAGTGTCAATTCACACAAGAGCAATTACACTACCCTATGTTAGTGTGCTCTCAAAGGCTAACTAAAGAGCCACACCAACCAAGCATGCAAGCTCTCACAACTAGCTACACTAAAGAGCTTGTCAACTAGTTTGCGGTAAAGTAAAGAGAGTGATCAAGAGGGTTATACCGCCGTGTAGATGAATGAACCAATCAATCACGAAGATGAATAACAAAGATGACCAATCACCTCGGAATCAATGATGAACAAAATGATTTTTACCGAGGTTCACTTGCTTGCCGACAAGCTAGTCCTCGTTGTGGCGATTCACTCACTTGGAGGTTCACGCTACGATTGGCATCACTCGCCAAACCCTCAATAGGGTGCCGCACAACCAACACAAGATGAGGATCACACAAGCCACAAGCAATTTACTAGAGTACCTTTTGGCGCCCGCCGGGAAAGGTCAAGAACCCTCACAATCACCACGATCGAGTCGGAGACAATCACCTCCTCCACTCAACGATCCTTGCTGCTCCAAGCCGCCCTAGGTGGCGGCAACCACCAAGAGTAACAAAGCGAAATCAAGAAATGAAACACAATCACCAAGTGCCTCTAGATGCAATCACTCAAGCAATGCACTTGGATTCACTCCCAATCTCACTATGATGATGAATCAATGATGTAGATGAGTGGGAGGGCTTTGGCTAGGCTCACAAGGTTGCTATGTCAATGAAAATGTGCAAGAGAGCTCCCTTGAGCCGGCCATGGGGCTATAAATAGAGCCCCAATGAAATAGAGCCATTGTACCCCTTCTTTGGGCACAACGCTGGCAGGACCGGACGCCTCCGGTCCGATCGACCGGACGCCGCCAGCCTCGGCGTCCGGTCATGTGATTCACACCACGTGTCCCCAGCTTCAAATGTTGTTCGTCAGATTTCAACGGTCGCGAAGCTGACCGGACGCTCCGGTAAAACTGACCGGACGCTGAAGCCCCAGCGTCCGGTCGTTTCCAGTAAGCTCCCCGAGGCATGTTTTTTCGACCGGACGCGTCCGGTCCACCTTGATCGGACGCAGAGCGTCGTCGTGCTCAACCCCTAGCCACTTTGTATCATTGAAATGACCGACGGACTTGACGCATCGGCCCGGCAGCTGATTCAGCGTCCGGTCCACAGGACCGACGCCAAAGATCATTTCGATCAACTCCATTTCAACTCTTACTTCTTCACCCTTGCTCAAGTGTGCCAACCACCAAGAATTTTGCATCCGGCGCAATAGAAAATAGACATTTCATTTTTCCAAAAGCGCCGAATCCCGCCTCGCAAGCTCGACGGGAGGGAGAGAGGGACCCAAACCCATCTCAACCCTGCAAACACCTTGTGCACATGTGTTAGCATATTTTCACAAATATTATCAAGGGTGTTAGCACTCCACTAGATCCTAAATGCATATGCAATGAGTTAGAGCATCTAGTGGCACTTTGATAACCGCATTTCGATACGAGTTTCACCCCTCTTAATAGTACGGCTATCAATCCTAAAAGTGATCACACTCTCTAAGTGTCTTGATCACTAAAACAAAATAGCTCTTACAAATTATACCTTTGCCTTGAGCTTTTTGTTTTTCTCTTTCTTCTTTCCAAGTCGAAGCACTTGATCATCACCATGCCATCATCTTTATCATGCTATGATCTTCATTTGCTTCACCACTTGGAGTGTGCTACCTATCTCATGATCACTTGATAAACTAGGTTAGCACTTAGGGTTTCATCAATTTACCAAAACCAAACTAGAGCTTTCAGCCACGCATGGATGGGCGGATTGGAACATTAGTGGCAACAAACACTACGGTGTCACACAAATCCACACCGAAACAATAAATCTAAATGGAGAGGAAGGAGGTTCCAAATTTGACCCGGAACGAAACCAATCTCGTGCTTCCAACAAAGGAATCCGTCCCCCCATTCAAGCGAGCCAGGACTACCAAGAAGGAAGAGATCGCTACTCACCGGGACGGACGGATCTCCAAGCCCGCTCGAGCGAGAGAGGTGCAGCGGCCGTCTGTGGAGGATTCAGAAGAGAGGAGGAGGACTACGGCGGGGCAGAACCGGGCGAAAGGAGGGCTCGACAGCGTCGGATTAGATTCCCCCCCCCCCACCACCAGCGTGGACGAAGACGAGCAGGGGAAGGGAACCAGCGGCGATGCGTAGGCAGGGAGCCGTCCCCAGCCTGCACGCACCACAGAAGTGGTGTGCCGCCGGAGGGCCCGCGGCCTGCAAGCTCACGCCGCCGGAGGGGGGATGGGGGGCTCGTCCCGTATTTGCCTGCGCCGCCAGAGCAGGGGAGTAGGAGTTCGTGGGGGACTGCGTGAGGGAGAAAGAGAGGGCAGTAGGGTTTCGACTGAGAAGAAGAGAGCGCTATGTTTTATTCATCATTTCGTGTATCTCGGTCATTGAAAGTCGATCAGATAGCGAAATGCGAGTATGCTCCGAGATGGGCTGAGACGGGCCGAATCACTAATGGGCTAAATGCGAAATTGCTTCACGAGCAAGCTAGATAGAGGTGGGGCACGAGAGCTCAGCGTGGGCCCATTTTCTTTAGCGACAGACAGATTGACGGTACACTTGGCTTTAGCGACAGACAATTCAACGCTAAATATGAATACCTATAGCGACAGACACTAAATCGCTAAATGAGGATTTAGCGTCAGATGGTCTCTGAGTTATCTTTAGCGTCAGATCATCCATCGCCAAATATAATTTTTAGCATCAGATGTTTGATGGTGAAGCGGTGTTGTGGTGTAGTGACACGTGATTTGAGCAATCTAATTTCGAACTTGCTGCTGTCATGATGCTTTTTGTGATGGAGTTGTTAACTGGGGTTGGTCAATTTTTTTCTTTACTGATGATTGCATGTAGGCAAAGAACCCGTTATGCATAAGATATCTTGTAGGACGTGGCATGCTAATGTACTCTGTTTTTTTTTACTGATGTAGGAGGAAATGTCGGGTCTTGATTCTTTGCTGTAGAATAATGAAATTGTTAGGAAGATGTTTGGTAGTGAAAAAGAATGATATTGGTTTTATAACAAATACGCTAGGGGAAATGATTTAGTGTGAGAAAAAGCTATTGTGAGTGGGGCAACGGCCACAATGAGAGGCCCCTTTGGAAGTTTGTTTGCAGTTGTGAAGGTTTCCGCGAAGAGAAGGAGCTGAAGAGGGAGATTAAGAAGCGGAAGCCGTGAAATATTACTCGTGTTGGATGCCCTGCTAAATTTGTGATTGCACGGGATCAGAATACAGGGCAGTGGTATGTGAAGGATTTCATCTATGAACACAACCATCCAATGGTGGAACGAGACCTTGCTTGTCTTCTGCGTTCACATAGAAGAATCAGCGATGAGCAGAAAGCTGATATTGTGGCAATGCAGATTTCTAGGATCCGCAAACACCAGATAATGGATATTATGGAAATGCAGTACGGTGGGTATGATAAGGTTGGATTTACAACAAGGGACTTGTATAATTTCTACGATCACAATAAGGTGGAGACAGTTGCTGCTGGTGGTGCTCAAACAGTCTTCAGTAACCTGACAGAATGCAGACGTAGGGATCCTAATTTCTTCTTCGACTACAAGACTGATGAGAAAGGACACCTCAAGGGACCGCTCTGGTGTGATAGTCAATGTCGGCTTGATTATGCAGCATTTGGTGATGTCGTCATATTTGATAGCACGTACAAAATGAAATGGTACAATCTGCCCCTTGATCCTTTTGTTGGGGTGAATCACCATGGCAGCACAATTCTTTTTGCATGTGGAATTATTTCCCAGGAGATAATTGAGTCATATGTGTGGATTCTTAGCACATTCTCTGAAGCCATGGTTCAGAAGCATCCGGTTTCCGTGATCACTGATGGTGACCTTGCTATGCAGAGAGCAATCGGGCTGGTGTGGCCGAATTCATCGCATAGGCTATGCATATGGAATATTGAGCAGAACATTGTGCATAATCTTCACGATGATGGTGTGAAGGATGATTTCAGGTATTTCCTTTATGAGTGTGGCTCCATAGAAGAGATTGAGAGGAAATGGCTGGAATTCTTGGATAAGCATAACGTTATAGATAAGGAGTCGTGGTTGTATCAGATGTATGAGAGGAGGGAAATCTGGTGTGCTGCGTATTATGCTTATAAGTGCTACTTAGGACCGAGGAGCAACTAGCGGAGTGAGAGCGTAAACTCTAGGCTTCAGGTAAATCTAGATCGTAAAATGACACTGTTCGAGCTGGTAGAGCACTTTGACCACTGCCTTTCGCGGCTGCACAGTAATGAAGCGAATCTGGACTATCAATCATCGAATTTTTTGCCATGCTTAGAACCAGATGCTTCAATTATTGAGAAAGAGGCTGCGAAATCGTTCACACCAAGAGTTTTTGCCACAGTGCAGTTCAGCATAAAAGCAGCCAAAAAGTGTTTTGCGAGAGAGATTCTAGATGGCTATGATACGATTAAGTATATTGTTGGTTGGGAGGATAAAGGAGACGGAGAATACCATGTGTAATGTGAGATATGTGTTGATGAAGGTAATCTGAAGGGAATTCAGATAGATAACATTAAGGGATAGGAGCACATTCAGGCAAATGTAGAAAACATTCCGATAGATTTTCATTCAGATAACATTCAGGCCAATACAGATAGGATTCAGATAGTTTCTCATTTCAGAAAAAAAAATCACATAGTCTCTCTCTCAGTTCACTACTTAATCATGACAATGGTGATTTTCTCCAACTTTGCATCCTGACTTGACTTGGGCACTCCTCTACCAAATTACTGTCTTTATAGGCAGCAGTCCAGCAGCAGCATCCATCACTGAAATAGCAGTTAACCATATGAACTACAGAGCTAATCATCTTATAATATTGACAGGGGAAAAACAGATAGTCTCATATTTGAAATACGAGCAACAGAGCTAAGCATATGAGCTAGAGAGCAGCAGCAACCATCACTAAAATAGCAGATAATAGTAGATGCACATACAATAGTCTCAGGTTGACACATGACCAACGATTAACAATTTTTAGATAAGGACCATAACTAAGATTAACTATAGATTACAGAGATTAATTAAAGATGACTCATGACCAATGAATGCTATGTCTCACCTTATGTTTCTTGCGGGTTCCCAAACAGCTTCTTGTCCATCAAAGCCAATGCTTTGTCTCGACCATCATTTGCTTCTTGAGTCATCTGACTTGTGTCATCTGAAAATTAGTACAGAATATATGCAGCAACATGCCATCCACCTTGTGGAAGCTCTGAAAATTAGAAGTACACACAAGCATCAGGTTACTGCTGCACTGATGCTAGCCACAATTGAGAATTAGATAGGACCAGGAACAACATCAGACATTGCCTTGCTTACAGTGACTATTTGCCTTGGTTAGGCCCAACCAGCTAGCAAATCAAAAGGGAAATACATACTGTAACTGAAAATTGTCAAGAAAATAGAAAAGCAGCACATGTTTGATGAAGAGGTGGCAAGGTGGATGGCAAGTTGCTGCAGAGGAAGAGGAGAGCAGCACATTGGGGACGGGGCTGAAGCCAGGATGCGCGTCCCCGCTGCGACCGTAGCTCATCTACGCCCTGAGCATGGACTCGGCGACGTACTGCGGGTCGTCGTCGTGCCCCGTGCCACCGTCGTGCAGGCCGAACTCACCCTCCAGGTCGTCGACGCCGTCCTCCTCCTCATCCCTTGCCACACATGAGCAGCCCTCGCGGCGCTCGTACTCATAGCAGGCACAACAGTTGGTGGTGGGCACCAGCTTGCCGAGCCCGCCCTCCAGCTTTGCCACCACGGACCGCCGTGTTCGTGGACGCACCACCTCGCCACCCACACCCCGGGCAGCAGGGATGGCCGCCGCCGCCGCGACCGGGAGCGCAGTCACCGCCGTGGCCTCCACGTGCTCGGTTGGGGAGCTGAGGGCTAGTGAGGAGGGGTCAGGCCCGGATCTCGACGAAGACGATGCAGGAGCGGCACAGCGCGTCGAGGTCCTCCTATGGACAGATCAACGACGGCGGACGACGGCGGCACAGAGACGGAGAATACAGAGACGGTGCGAATGAACCCTAGCAAGACAAAAATATTCATCTAACTATAGTACTTAAATCATACATCCCAACTATACTACTCAAAACATTATTTTTACAATTATGGATTTACCATTTTACCCTTGATTAAAAAAATTAACTACGAAAAAGGAATTGCCACTCTTTTATTTGAAGTCCTAATCCTCAGGCGTTGGGAGGCGTTATGGTGCATACGGGCCCACCGACTATAGACACATCTAACGCCTCCCTCATTGACGCCTCTCAATGCCTTCCCTCATATAAACCCACCAATCATAGACACATCTAACGCTCCCTGACGCCTGCCCAACCATAGTAAAAAAGTTATTCATTTTAACCTTTGTTGGCAGCGAGTTGGACACAACACTATTCTCTCATCGATTCAATTTTTTGCATCTACAAAATTGTTGATCTTATCAGGAGACATAATTTTTGGGAAACAATTATCTGACTTTATATGAATATTTTCGTACAATGTTGTTACCTAAGTACAACAGTTATTTACTGTGGCTTCGGCAAACAAACAGAAGCATTTTTCCTGATGTAAATACTCTATATATTAGAGATTACTATTTCTTTACTATTTGTTTAACATATATTTTTGTTAGCAATCTACATTTACATTCATGAATAAACTAGAATGCCTGATTCCAATAAAGTATTGATACCAAGTATTGATACCATGTTTTCAATTACCAAGTCATAGATCTCATCAGGGGTACAGTTTTCATATAATCTTGTCTTCATCCAACTAAGTCAGAAAAGGCAGGTATTAATTTTCAAAAAGAATCTGCAAACTTATAAGAACTTTCTATTTGCAGTGAGTTTGTTAGAACTATGGTAAAATAATCAACGACTGTTATAATAATTGGTTTATGATAGAAAGTGATTGTAATAATGTCGTTTCGATAGAAGGTTTGTTTTATGAATGAACCGTGTTTTGTCTAAATTTATTGTACAGATGATGTATTTCCATGGTTGATTCTAGCCCCGAAGCCGTTAGTGATGGTTCTAGAAGTTCAACCAAGTATGTTTTTTACTCCCTCCTTGTATGTCATTCTGGCTTTTCTAGGTATAAGCTATGTACCTAGAAAAGCCATAATGACTGTTAACACTGGATTTTGGTCAATTCTGGAAGATGACAGGTGGACCCACATGCAGGAAGAAGAGTGTTCGGCAAATAACGCAAGCGGTCGGCTAAATGCTTGTGCGGTCGGTTATTCTGGAAGGCGATAACTCCATTCGGGAAAGCAGAAGATGGCAAGCAAAGCTGATCGAGAAGATGAAAGTTGTAATAATAAAGGACTCTGAGAGTTTGGGGCAAGGAATCGTAGTTTCCAAGTTTATTTAAAGAGTTCCTTTGTAAATCGTAGTCTTTTAGGACTCGTGTTTCGTCTAGGGTATAAATATTGACCCTCGACCATTGTAATAGGCGTTCACAACCAAATCAATACAACCGCCCCGTGCCAACTTTCGAGTCCTTTTGTCGTGGTCGCCGAGTTCTTCGAGAGGAGTCATCGATCCGTCGACCTCCGTAAGTTCCGGACAACCTTGTTATCATGTTTAGTATCATGCGGTGGATTTAGACGTGATGCAAGTAGTCTTGTTTGTTTTCAATGATCGTATGCGGCGGATCTTTGCTTGACAATCAAGAAGTCTTTGCTTATACTTTGTTTATGAGTAGACACCGTATGCAAAAAGCGCTTGCTCAATATGCTTAGTGGAAGCAAGACAGGTTATCGGCTCTATTAGATCACGGCAAAATCTAAATAGATTCATCAAGTTATCCTGTGTTGCATGTTTTAAATATTTTATATATTTGTAGCACACTTTTGCCCAATCTAGATGGATATTGTTCGCCCTCTTCTATGGTTTTATTCGAGCTTCAATGATCATTACTTTCATAATACCTTTGCAAATAGATAACATGCTCGTAATGGCTGAATTATTTTAATCTAGATTGTCACATGTTGTGGGTTCATGTATGTTAATCACGTTTAAGTTTTTGACGAAACTAGGTGTCGTATGCGGCGCGCATTTGAGTTTTAGATTGGCTTAATCGTGTTTATCTACACGTTCCTTCTTCATGGACCCTAACTCTATTTGGATTGTCGAGCTTGGATATGCATTAACGCATAATCAATTTCACTTGTTCAAACATGTCTTCCCATGCATATGCATTCGCAATCAGATCTTTACGTATGTCCATCCTACGATTAATCGAATGATTTATAAACTTGTTGGCGCATGCCTTCCTATAGCTGTATGTCGTTGTAAAGTGGCTTCGTGGTCGTATATACGGAATCGTCTCGGTCTCACCCGACATGTTCCGGTTTGACATTTAAACTGTTTTATCCCTTGTCGGTTTTTTTCAGTCAAACCGACCGCACGTTCCGGATCACGAAGCACCCGGCACCGATTGAAGCTACGCTTACGCTTGCTTGTGTGGTAAAGTGCACAAAGGCGTCACATTTTGTGTCAACACACTTTTGGCACGACACGGGGACAATCTGCTAGTTCAAGATGGCATCCGAGATCAACAATGATCATGTTCGGATGTAAGCATGGCGAATCAAGCGATAATTACAAGGATTTAGTGCTACAAGCGTGTGAGCAATACCAACGGAAGTGCTTGATGTCTTTTTCCAAAAACAAGAGCAATAAAGTATTTCAAAAGGTCAATGCCAAGGGTTCTTCTTCCGCATCAAACCTGATTACATCAAGAGGAGGATGCTCAAGAAGATGGCAGCCACGGTTTATAAAGCTATGGGAGAAACCATGACAAACCATCACACGACTTTTTCGAATACCTTTCGGCAATCATGATCGTACTTTTGGCCCAATGGTTGATAAATACTTCGAGGAAAATGTTGGACCACTTAGTGGGCCGATGCTTTTCAATGTTCCAAAGCATCAAGAGAAGCCTGTTGGAAAGGAAGTAGCGTCGCCTTCAAATATAGGTGGATTGACTCACACTGAAAAGCAATCACATCCCACCGATGGCCGATGACATTTGGTACCACAGAGAAGTGCCACTTTCAAACTTATAGAGTTTCTCCGGCATCAAATAGATTACTGAAGAATATGTATGGAGAT